TATATATATAATGCAAATTCATTCTCTGTGTCATGCCACACAGTCAACATAGTGCTTTCCATTTTTTATTGAGTCGGCATTTTGAGAATCTATAAAAAATGTGATTTCTTTATCTTCTGCTGTAAAACCTATCTTCTCAATAGACCCAAACTGGTGATGAATGATGGTATGTAAATACTTTTCTATCTGCCCATTTATTTGTCTCTCTATCTGTATCTTGTATCTATCTATCTATCTATCTATCTATCTACTATTTATCTATCATCTGTCTATCCATCTAATCTGTGTGTCTGATTTACCATTGGAACAAAACCTTAACCCTTGCATCAATGGGTTTTCCTTCAGGATTTAGGATTCTGCACTAATTTGTTCACATAGCCAACTTAAATACTTTGCCAGAAGAATTTTGTTTTCAAAAAACTATCAAAATAGACCTTGAAATAGTAATGTAATACTGATATTGTTGGTATTGCTGAATTGTAATGGAATATTTTAAAATGTGGTTAAAAATGACGGATGGGGGGGGCGCGCCTGGGTGGCTCAGTCGATTAAGCGTCCAGCTTCGGCTCAGGTCATAATCTCATGGTCTGTGATTTCGAGCCCTGCATCAGGCTCTGTGCTGACAGCTCGGAGCTTCGGATTCTGTGTCTCCCTCTGCCTCTGCCCCTCCTCCGCTCGTGCTGTCTCTGACTCTCAAAAATAAATAAGCATTAAAAAAATGATGGATGGGATTTTTCATGATTCATTGTGTGATACTCTCTATTTTGGATTTTTATTGTCAGTTATTTTTGTTTCATCCACTAGGTGTTACTTATTTATTTATTTTTTTAGTTTTTCTACACATACAAAAAGCATTCATGAATCTAGACATTTTCTATTATATAAATAGATCTTAGTATTTTAAATTTAAAACAGCTTTCTTTTCAGCATTAAATTTAATATATAACCTAAAATAATTCATGGAAATTAAAATAGTCACAGAAAATACACAGATTCATAGAAGCTGTTATACTGTACATGATAGAAAAATAATTATCTTATTTTTGACATTTTTTGTTACAAACATAACCTATCACCCATGTGCTGTCCTACTACTAATTTGGTTGAACCAGCATTTAATTACAGATTCTGAGTTTACTCCCATCACGTAAACATCACCGTTTTTTCTATTTTTATATAGAGATGGGATAACATTTCTCATAATTTATTATATACTTTCCTTTGTCAATTTATTAGTATGTATTAGTGTTTCTGTATTCATTTTGATCTTTCTTCTTGGGTTAATGAAGACTGTTTCTAAAAGGTTTGAGGGGTACCTGGGTGGCTCAGTCAGTTGAGCGTCCGACTTCAGCTCAGGTCATGATCTCGCCATCTGTGAGTTCCAGCCCAGCGTCGGGCTCTGTGCTGACAGCTCAGAGCCTGGAGCCTGTTTCAGATTCTGTATCTCCCTCTCTCTCTCTGCCCCTCCTCCAGTCATGTTCTGTCTCTCTCTCTCTGTCAAAAATAAATAAACGTAGGGGCGCCTGGGTGGCGCAGTCGGTTAAGCGTCCGACTTCAGCCAGGTCACGATCTCGCGGTCCGTGAGTTCGAGCCCCACGTCAGGCTCTGGGCTGATGGCTTGGAGCCTGGAGCCTGTTTCCGATTCTGTGTCTCCCTCTCTCTCTGCCCCTTGCCCGTTCATGCTCTGTCTCTCTCTGTCCCAAAAATAAATAAACGTTGAAAAAAAAATTAAAAAAAAAATAAATAAATAAACGTAAAATTTTTTTTTAAAGATTTGAGAATCAAGAATAGCATTTGACAGTCCTTTCTGTGTGTGTGTGTGTGTGTGTGTGTGTGTGACCCATTGCTATGTCTTGAAGTGATATGTCTGAATGACCATTACTGTCCTTTTCTAAATTCAACATTGCCATTTAAAGCTTATTGTTCAATAGTATTTACTGAATATTTTCTTTATGCAGAATAGTGTGGTTTTAGGAAACGGTGAGTGGCCTTATTTCTGAGGTGAGACTGAGGAAATTCAGACAATTTGCAGTCATCTGGGAGTGATAAATAGAAAAAAAAATTAAAAAAACTTTGTGCACATAAGATAAAGCCTGGTAAATACATATCGACTTCTATATTTACTTAAAATATAAGTTAAAACATCACAATTGTATTATTGTGAAGAAATAGAAGTAGTATTAATGAAATAAGAGTAATTATTTTAGAGTTTATTGCCAGTAAATTTTGGGTCATTATATATATATATATATATATATATATATATATATATATATGCTATTTGTACTAGAAGTATTTCATTATTGTTTTAAAAAATTTTTTTTTTCAACATTTATTTATTTTTGGGACAGAGAGAGACAGAGCATGAATGGGGGAGGGGCAGAGAGAGAGGGAGACACAGAATCGGAAACAGGCTCCAGGCTCCAGGCTCCGAGCCATCAGCCCAGAGCCCGACGCGGGGCTCGAACTCACGGACCGCGAGATCGTGACCTGGCTGAAGTCGGACGCTCAACCGACGGCGCCACCCAGGCGCCCCTTCATTATTGTTTTAAAAATACTGTAGTTCCAATTTGGTGAAACATTATAAAGAAGAGAAATGTTTTCCCTTCCTAATAGTATTCAGCAGTTCTAAATGTTTGATTTTGAATTAGAATGAAAGATAGGATTTTATTAAGACTGTCTTTTCCAAATAAGTACATGAAGGGCAAGGTACTGGGTTAGAAAAGCTAACAATGGACAATATTCCTGGCCAGTGTTCTGAGATAAAGTGAAGGGAAGATTTGTGGAAGCATGCATTTGTCTCTAGTGAAACCACTTTATAAATTTGGGGGAAATACTGTAACTCTTCTTAGCTTTCCCTTGAATAACCTACATGTGTAGATTGGTCCAGTCATGACTCATGATTCGAACCATTCGTATTCAAGTTATAAAAGTGCAAAAAAAGGCTTTCGACCTTTCTCACTATTTTCTGGCAACATTATTATTTTTATACATTATATTAAAAAGCACCAGTCTGAGCTGTAAGTTTAAAAAATACATTTATGCCGTTTTCAAGTCACACACAAGTTTTTAATGGCTACAGCTATTGCCAAGAATAATCTCAGAGAGATATCACAGAACCTTTTTATATTGTTTTTCTTTTTTCCCTCAACTGTTATGTGCAGAATACTATCAATGCATGGCATTAGTTTGTTCCCTTAATGAGCCTAATTTTTTTGTTTTGTTTTGTAGTTACAATAATCTATAAATTCTGTACATAGTAAATCTTCAGTGCAGCCAACTTTGGTGTCATAGTAACTTGTGGGATCCAACTGGATAAAAATTTACAACACTTTAAAATTACAATTTAAAGGCTGTGCGTGCGGTAACTACTTTTGAACAAACTATAAACGGTCGTTGTAAGCACATACAATTAAGCTTTGGGGTTTATTTTCTGTTCCCTGGTTAAAGGAACTTTTATCCATTAGTTCAATGCTACCCTTACAGTCTCAGGGTCAATAGGTAATATTTTTAATAAGAAGAAAAACAGGAATGTATTCCTATCTCCTAACAGTGTCCCTAAATTCCTATTTATTAGTTATCCCTTTAATAGTTTGAGTCAACTGCCAGAACACTCATTTTAAAACCATTGTATCATACAGACAGAGTTTTTAAAAATGAATGCCTACAATGATTATTTCAATGTGTACTGCCTTCCCAAATCAGTGACACTTGTGATAGAGTCTATTTGTGAAAAGCAAATTTGAAGTGAAGACTACAGAATAGAAGAAGGTTGAATACATGGTACTAACATAGAGTTAAATGTGTATTTTAGTGAAATTGCTGTTTTCTTATCTCTGTTGCAGAAAGGGAATTTTCAGGTTTTTTTTTTTTTTCCACAATGAAAATGAAATTCTAGCACTGCCTCAGATAACACAGTTAACCAAATAGAGTTGAACATCTCTAACCATTTTGTATTGAATGAGTTGCCGGTAGTCCTTGATGTATGTCGTTTATGTGTTTTGTAATAAGATCGTTTACAATCTTACACTTTAGTGACATTCAGAATCTTTTCTTTTGCAGCCATTTCGTAGAGTGACGTTTTCTGTTGTGAGTCAGCCTCAGGACCCACATCAGGGGTCACTGCAGAGTTGCTATGACAGCGGGCTGGAGGAGTCAGAGACACCAAGCAGTAAGAGTTCATCAGGGCCAAGGCTGGGTGCCCTTCCACTCCCAGAGGACAGCTACGAAAGGACCACGCCGGATGGCAGTGTTGGTGAGGCAGAGCATATGGAAAATGGTAGGGGCAAACACAGCATCCACACACATAATCACGCTAGTGAGCCATAATAAGTAGACTCATGAGGCTCAGTCTAAATCCAAAACAAAATAGCTGACACTAAAACTATTGTACCTAAAAAAAATAAATATTTGCTAAAGTCCAGAAATACCAAATAAAGGAACATAACTGTATAGATAAAATTCACCAAACTTGCACCATCATTTTCAAACAACCTGTCAGAAGTAAACACATTTACAAATAAATCAGACTAGTACCTTCTATGAAAAAAACCAAAAAACTAAACAAAATTAAATCATAATACCTAAACGATAGAAACTGATAAAGGTCTTGTGTTATTGTTTTCTTCTATTCATTTTTGTCATGCAACTATTTCTTCAACTGCAATTGTCCAGCCTCAGTGAAAGGAAATGACAATAAACACACTTTGCTCAATTCTTTCTTTTCTGACGTATTCAGTAAAGCATTTTGGAACCTCTCCTTTTGAGTGATAGCTGAAATGGAGTCAAACAAGAACGATGATATCTTATTCTCAAAAAATAGATTGTAAATACTATTAGAACTCCTTGTCATTTAATTATAAGGTTTTTTTTTCTTCTCATTTTTGTGCAAGGGAAAGAGAAGAAAGCAAATTTTAGGACTCCATATTCTTACCCTTTTGTGAGATGATTCTCATAATTACCACAATTGGCCTTCTCTACACTTTCTTGATGTTATAAAGTTAGACTGCAGATAGTTCTTATAAACTTTTCACATCTGTTTATGTTTCCCCCAAACGGGTGATTTATTTTTTGGATTTCAGGTTATAAGTAAATGTCTTAGGAATAGCTTTGTGTCAAATGATGGAACAGGAAAGTTCATACTAATTTTATGATTATTTCAAATGTAAAAAGAGATTTGGTTATATGTAAGTGAAGGAAGGGGGATCACACACATTATATCTCTGGTGAACACTTGAAATGGATTTGCCTTTCACCATCCCATCCCCCAAGTGAAATAAGACATTCTAACTTTTGTTATACACTGGTTTCTTTAGTGATGGTATGCAAATAGAGCATATTAATTCAGGGAAATCTGATTTTTTTTCTGGAAGTTTACCTATGAATATTAAAATCCAACCTTAGAGCGTAATAGATGACAAGTGAGCCCAAGTGAAATTATGGCTAAACTAAATCATGTTAAATAATTAGTTTTCTACATTGTTATCTGGGTGAGAAGATATGATATCAGGATCTGTTGATGGATATCCCTCTTGATGAACAATCCAGAGTTTATGGCATTTGCCTTATGGCTATAAAGGCATGCTTATCTGTGTGTATGGGGGTGTATGATTATGTGGATGGGAGTTTGATGTGCTTTTTAAGAATTAACTATTTTTTAGTATCATTTTAAACAACTACCAAATTTTGGTATAAATTACATTGCTGATGAATATATTTCTAAGGCAAATATGTTTGAAATGCTTTGCACAAAAGTAAAAATTAAGCTAAGATACTATAATAATATTACACATACACACACCTAAGAAGGAAGGAAGGATTGATTTATTTTAAGGACATTCCTATATCTGTGATTACCTTTTGATGTTATCATTTTATTTGTGTTTAAAAAAGTATTTATCTCATTCTCAGCAACCGTATGTATAAGGAAGTATTTATTTTGGGATGTCAGCTATAGTAACAGAAAGAATTTTGCATCATTGGCATTATAATCACATTTTAATGTTATTTTTCTGTTTTTTTGAGTTTGAGGGGATCCGACCTTTAAAATAAGAAAGAAATGATGAGTAAGAAACATAATTATATATGACAAACACATTATCAGTTACTTTTTAGGAAACATACATGTAATGGAAAACTTAACAGGTGAGCTTGTTAAGAAACTAGAAAGTTTACTGACAAACATTTCCCACATAAGGTGTTTAGTTATTTTTTGTAACCATGTTTTTAGTCTTGTCATCAGCAACGACCATCATAATAGAACTGATTTTTCTGATTTTGTATGTAACTGACACTTGAAATTCAGTTTTATGTAATCATTTGTCATCTGCCAGCCGTGATTCATGTTAGTCTTGATCTATAGGTAATGACAGAAGGAGATGTGATTCACCTTGGGTGATCCAAATGTAGCAGTTGGCATTTGAATAAGTTTTGTTGGGACCAAGTTTTCAGACTACTATCTAGTCATAAAGTACAATTGTATTGCTTGAATTCTGGTAATTTCATCTTCAATATTAATGGATCATTCTGACATAAATAGAATTGGAATTGAAACCTGTCAAGTATTCATTTGTCACCTTTAATTGGAATCCAGGTAATCTGCAACGTTTTGCTTGGTTAGGTTTTAATCAGGATTTGTATTGGATTTTCTATGAAAATACCATTTTGGATGCTGTCCTAGTTCCTAATTATTATTACCTCAAATGTTTTCTTTAATTTTAACCCATGTGAAATAATGTAGTTATAACTGATTTTTGGATTAACTTTCATTGTAAAGTTTGGAAGATAATTTTCCAGTGCAAAAACAACATTCCAATGTCACGACGTGACCTGGGCATACGCTAGAAAAGCTAATGATAAAAATAAGTTGTCACAGATGCTTTAGTAAGGAAATAACTAAAAGTAACTGAAATAACTAAAAGGAAAATTTAAGTAGATAAGTAGTGAAATGCACTTATGTTTTACAAAAGCTTTTATTTGCTTCCTATACTTTAGCATAATAAACACAATTTTATAAAGAGGGCTTGTGGATTAATAGGTTTTATAATAAGCTTTAGCCTACATTCCAACCCACCTTACTGTCAAATGATGAATGAGGTTTTATTCTTTTATTAGCTTAGGAAAAAGAATACACTGTAAGAATAAACATAATTTCGTGAAACCTGAATCTAATAATTAGAATGAGTCCCACCATTTTAATAATTTCAGACCCAGGGTACTTATATCCATGGGTCCCTGGAAAGCGGTAATGGAAACGGTATCATTAAAAAGTATTTTAAGGATTGTTTATGAATTATACATTAATTTATGAAAAAGATCACTAAAATATTTTCTTTTCTCTTTATTATTATCAATAGTATGATTATTTCATGTTGATCTTTCGATAAGATTGGGGAAATTGATTATTTATTATTTCAATAAAATATTCCTAACGGGATAAGGTATTTTAGAATAGGGAGCTCATGATAGGAAGTTTAGTAATGATAAAATACTTGATAATGACATGTTAAAACAATTGGAAACCTACTGGAATAAATTCATAATTCAAGTGAAACCCAAATAGTAAGCTTAAAACCATCATCACATTAGGAGCATACATTGACTATGCAAGAACTTGCCCTTTTCTACATTAGGCAGTTGTCGTCAGACTTTCTCACATAGTGGTATTTAACCTTCGCTTTAGCTCTATTGTCACTATTTATCTTGACTTTTGAATTAATGCCATAGTCATCTTATTCTTCCCAGTCGCCCCCCAGAATTACCTTTGCAAGTTAATTTGGCTTTGTTATATATCATGTAACCATATATAGTGTTCAACAATTCAAATATAAGAAATATTTGACCTCCAATCCCAATTTTGCCATTATGAATGGGTAGGTCACAAATTCCTTCTGGATCTGCTACTAATCATTTGTAAGGCAGTTAACAGAATTAACTCTAAAATCCTACTCAGATCCAACAATGTGATTTTTTCTTACATCCCATTTTTCTTATATGTTTTACTTTCAAGTCAGAAAAAGTACTTTGGGTCTCTTAGTGAGATGGCAAATGAATTTGAAAATTTGTGCTAATGTGAGCAGGGAAGAATTCTAGGGCCTTCCTTGCAACCTACAAACCGTGCATTTTAATAGTAGTAATGCACGTATGAGATAAAGAAGTCAAGTGAATGAAATTGTGTGATTTCTGACTAGGTGAGTAGAAACGTTCGTACCTAGCAGGTCAACGTGGGAGACAATTTTAGAGCCTCCCTCAAATCACACCATGCAAGAGCCATCTGTAGATTTGACCTGGCCCTGGGTGTAATGCCCTTCAAAACATTAATTGTAATTAAGTGATCTCACAATAGAATGAACACGTTTTCTTTCTTGCTTGACAACGTACTTTGATCAGAGTAAGAATGAACAAAAGGTAGAAAATGGTATTTATTTTCCTCTAGGTAAACCTCCGAATAGTATAACATAGACGTAAATTAAAACTGGAAAATAGCAGTTGGTCTGTAAGGCAGATTTCAAAAACTTAAATAAAGTCAAAAAAAAAGTTGACCACGCTAAATGCCTAATTAATTTTCTGCCACTTTATGTTCCCAGATTTTTAAAAGATCATTTTGATATTTATACACTAATATTTTTGAGCGTACCCCCACTTCCAAGCTCTCTTACATTTTCAGAATTATATGTTAGGCTTAATCATTGTTTCAGTCATTCCCCTCACTCCACATGTGTTCAATAGGGTTTAGAATACATTGTTTTTGATGGTTAGAACATGGTACAGTCCATCACAAAGTCGTTTTGTATATGCTATGTGCTTGTCCTTTGATTTCAGAAATAAATGACAGTATATGTGAAATACCAATTGGAAATGAAGTACCATTTTTATATGAACAAGGATAATGAGGATGGAGACTAACCTCATAACCTGGTGTGGGATAAAGGGTTTTCTCTCTGCTTTTCTCCCATCTATCCAATTTCCAATTCACCTACCCAATGGGGGTCACTTTTCGGGTACCCCCATCTAGTCACTGTTGGTTTGTACTGTTTTCATTTAGACTAAATTAAATAACAAGTCAGTCTCCCATCTTTCCAAAGATGCCCAAATACTTGTTAATGGCAGGAGCGTAATCTCTCAAAACAAATGCCCCACCTATTTTTTTTTTTTTTTTTTTTTCCTTCAGGAAGACACTCACATACCCTGGAAAGGATGCATTTCCATGGTTCTGTTTTTCAGTGTGGCACTCTTGTTGCCAGAGTTGGATTGCATTTTCTCCTTTTCTAGTCATCTGTGAAATGGCTTTGTGCCTCTCGAGTATCCCCAAGTCCACCATGCCCCCACTTTTGTAGGGCTTTACTCAGTTGTGCTTTTTCGTGGTGATTAGAGACAGCAAGTAATTACAGATGTTGTCTCCAATCAAGATGTGGGCCGCGGAAGTTTTCCAGTAAATGAGCAGCACAATCCAAAAGAATCCAAAGAAGATACTGTCCTAGACAAGAAGCAACGTTGTCTGTAGAATATAGTAGTTTAAAAAATAGGCTTTGCAACCAGATGACATCGGTTTGAATTCTGGTTTGTCCTCTTAGTAACAGTGCAGTTTTCTGACCTCTCTTAGCCCTGCTTCCTTCAATAGTAAATCATACTATTGTGGGAGAAAGTAAATGAAGTAATAGCACCTAATAATTTATACTTAAATAATGGGTAGCAATAGTTTCACCATATGAACTGATGATAGAATTATTTACTATGATTCAAATAGTAATGGGAAGTAATTTTGATTATTGACTTTAGGCAGATTTTACATAACACAATAGCTTAATCATGAAAGCATCAGATATGCTTAAGTATATCAAGGATCTGAAATGAAAGGAAGGGAGGATTCTATCCTCTGGCATCAAATCAACCCCACTCTCTGTGCTCTTCACCTTTCAAGGTGGGGATAAGTCATCATTACTTCCTATATTCCTTTCTCACTTTTAAAATCTTTTTACATTTATGCTCAGGGTTCCTGTTGAATGTGTATTCTTCAGGTGTGTATTTCCCTTTGAACTGCTCTAAAATATTCACACTGACAGGGAAAACAAGCTGAAAAAAGTGACCAATTAGTATGCTTACCGAACTCTCAGCCCTTTCTTTTTTAATCTCAGTATTAATAATTAACACTGATAAAATGTGTGGCCATATTACCCTTTTTATTCTAATTTGGTCCTTTAAAACTAGATCACTCTATTGAGCCCTTATGACATTTGAGGACAGAATGAGCTCTCATCAAATCTCAAAGTGACTTTAGAGGTCAGTTAGTGTCTTTGTTGCCTTCAGACTCTCAAATCATTTGCTTATCTGAATTCCAGCACACTTGTTAGATAATGCATTCGACGTGTAGCTCCTTATTTAGTTAGGGTATTATCTCCATATTTTTTGCATCCTTTTTTTGCAGATAGACCTTTCTGATTTTTCTCTAGAGTTATGTATAAAAAATTTGATGTTGCTGACATATGACAACACTCTTAAGCATCTTTTATGTGTCAAAGAAATGGTAGAATTTGTCTGTAAAGTGTAGTTAACCCTCAACCTCAGAAGTTAGTCCACTTATTGAGAAACTGTTTCACTTGAGTATTCTTCTTTGAGGATAAAAGACACTCTGTTGTTATCTGTTCTATTGCAGCTATTTTAAAAAAATAATGTTTATTTATTTTTGACAGAGAAAGAG